AGTATAATGTTTTGTAATGAATCTTTGCAAATCGCCTTTCCTAATAATGTGCTAATTAGCAAGTTTCACGATGAATGCGGCTAAAGTAAACAGTCTCTCTGAGAGCAGAGAAAATTTAAAGGACATTTAAAGGAAAATGATACAAAAACAGCTTGATCTGAAAAGAGCTGTTTTTGACAGGGTAAAAAAGGTGTTTTTTACACTACCATTGAGAAATTTTAACCAAACTATGTTACAGACTTTTCATTAAGACCCTAAAGAATCATATCAACTTGTGGAAAATGGGCATCCTATGACCCCTTTAAAACTATGCAAACTGGCCTTCATACACTAAACGACTGAGGATCACACACTGCCAGTCTGAAAATCTGGTAGCTTGTGATCCTCAGTCATTTAGAGTATGTATGATGACCAGTTTTTCTCTATCAAACAAAATTGGCAGATATATGATGCATAGTGTTTAAAAATCTGTTCCGGTTATGAAAGTGGTGTTGGGGTATTCCAGCCTTTCTAGCTAAACGCACCCATACAGAAATCCCAACAACCACCACATCTGTATTTTCTTTAAAAATCACAGCTATGTGTACAAATTTGCTGTTAACTCAATAATGAAAAGTTTTATTTTTTAACTAATGTGGGTCTTTCAAAATTGTAGGTTCAGTATGCTTATCCAGCGATTCATTTGAGTCATCCTTTGAAAGCGCAGCTGCTTTAAAAAGGGAAAGTAAGGTATGTTGCATATTCTCTTTGTTTCATTTCTGTCTCTGTTGCCGTAATATCTGTGCCTTTACACTAATGAGTGATTACATCTCATTGAAACCATGCTTGCAAACACTACCTATGACCATCGCTCTGTTTTCTGCTTCTCATTGGAGCTGTTTTTGTGTGTAGAAGTTCATAGCCGGTTCTGTACGTCTGATCAGGACTGGAGTTCAGCTCAACGGGCGCGTGTAGGAATATTTAATCACAGCTCTGAATCCTGTTTGATTCTCATCTCTGTGTTTCTAGTGTAATAGAAGCTATGGTAAGTCTTAAACCTAAGGGTGTGACTGATCCCGAGTCTGATATTGATGAAGATATTGAGCGAATGAAGAGCAAATGGACTTCAAAAGAGGTGAGCTGAAGCACTGAGGTGCATTTAAATCATTGCTAATAATAAATTAATACATCACTTACTTGAATTAAGTAATTGTACATGAAATAGTACAGTTATTAACAAGTATTGGAGCAGGGTTTTTATTCTCCACTTCCAAATGCTTTTTTATATGTTTATGGTAGGTGTGTGCTACAAATTTGAATGTAAGGTGTGATTAATAACAATCCTAGGTATTTAGGCATTTATAGTATATACAGTATCTCACAGAAGTGAGTACACCCCTCACATTTTTGTAAATATTTTATTATATCGTTTCATGTGACAACACTGAAGAAATGGCACTTTGCTACAATGTAAAGTAGTGAGTGTACAGCTTGTATAACAGTGTAAATTTGCTGTCCCCTCAAAATAACTCAACACACAGCCATTAATGTCTAAACCGCTGGCCACAAAAGTGAGTACACCCCTAAGTGAAAATGTCCAAATTGGGCCCAATTAGCTATTTTCTCTCCCCGGTGTCATGTGACTCATTAGTGTTACAAGAGGTGCGTTCGACTTCATGCGGCGCCGCGCAAGCCGATCGGCGGCTGACTTGCAGCAGTGCATGTCGGTTAGAAATTTAGTCCGACTTGAACCGGCGCCGACACCACGTCACTGTCACGTGTGGCATCAAAGTACCGCGATAGCGTTTCGAGAGCAGCCGGCTGACTCAGCTGGCGCAGCTTTTTCAGAGCGACTGCAGGAGCGCTGATGACGACACAGCTGTTTCACGATTGGCCAAATTCACCACATGACAATAATGACGTGTGTTCTAACATCTTCAAATCCAATACTGCTCATAAATCTGTGTTTTTAGAACAGTAAAAGCTTTTTTACTGTAGTCGCAATGTTATATTGAGTCACGTTTATCATGAAAGCATATATA